AGTGGAGCGGTCGACGGATCAGGTGATCAAACCGGTGAACGTGGAGGCTCTGTCCAAGTGGGTGGGGAAGATCCCGCCGGACGTGGTGAGGGACATGCCCGCCATCGCCCCCATGCTGTCACGCCTGGGATACGACCCGCACGCCAACCCGCCCAACTACGGACGCCCCGACGCCAAAGTCCTCGACAACACCAGGAGGGTGAGGAACCGGGACTAAAACCAGGACTAGACCAGGACTGGACCAGGACTGGACGAGGACTAAAGCAGGACTGAACCAGGACTGGACCAGGGCTACACAAGGACTGGACCAGGACTGAACCAGGACTGAACCAAGATTGAACCAGGACAAGACCAAACTCGAACCAGGACTTGACCAGGGCTAGACCTGGACTAAAGTAGGATTGGGCCAAGATGAGACCAGGATTGGACCGAGACTGGACCAGGGCTAGACCAGGGCTAGACCAGGACTGATCCAGAACTGAACCAGGACTTAGATCAGGGTTAAAGCAGAACTGAACCAGGAACTGGACCAGGACTGGACCAGGACTGGACCAGAGTTACACTAGGACTGAACCAGGACGAGGCCACCAGGGCTATACCAGGGCTAGGCCTGGACGGGGCCAGGACTGAACCAAGACCAAACCGAGACTTGACCAGGGCTAGACCAAGACTAAAGTAGGACTGGTCCATGACGAGACCAGGACTAAGCAGGACTTATCCAAGACTGGACCAAGACTGAACCAGGACTTAACCAGGGCTGAACAAGGACTGGACCAGGGTTAGACTAGGACTAGACTAAAACTGAACCAAGAATGGACCAGGACTAAAGCAAGACCGAACCAGGTCTGAACAGGGACTGAAACCAGGACTGGACTAGGACTGGACCAAGACTGGACCAGGACTTGACAGGACACATAGTTTTAGATTTATTATTTTCTTTTTACATGTTGAACTGAAATAGAAAAATGATCTTTGTCTAAAACGTCCTGGAGTCGCATCAGGTCCCTCCCCCTCCCCTCGTCCTCGTCCGTCTTCGTCCTCGTCTTCGTCCTCGTCTTCGTCCTCGTCCTGCTTCACCTGTTTTTGTATTTTACACTTGTAAACTCAAACACGTAAACACTTAAACTGTCATGAACCTGAGTTTAGTTTGAAACGGTCCAAACGAGAGCGACGCTTCAGTGAGCCTGAGTCCTGAGTCCTGAGTCCTGAGTCCTGAGTCCTGAGTCCTGAGTCCTGAGTCCTGAGTCCTGAGTCCTGAGTCCTGAGTCCTGAGTCTTGAGTCCTGAGTGTTGAGTTTGTGATAATGAGGCCACCGTCTCAGTTTCAGTTTCAGTCTCCGTGTGGTTTTCCTTTTTGTGAACTTCTTTTGTCTGTGACGCGTCTGGACCACAACAAATCAAAGAGAAATCAGGTTAACGAAACAAGAGACAAACAACATGCGCCTCCTGGCCTCATGTGTGCAGATGTAACCATATCCAAATCTCACGGTACGATTTTATCACGATAGAGGCTTTGTACCGTCACGTGACCCCAGACACACTATGTCATTGACTTCAGCAGCATCGGAGAAACATGGGCAGGTTTTGTTGTGTATTTGGTTGTTCTAGACGCTCTGAAAGGGATAAAACGATTCATTTCTTCACTGTTCCTCTGATAATGACTCATCAGGATCAAACAAGGGAATTATTGAAAAAAAGACGCAGATTATATCTAGAGAACATAAACCACAAAGAGATTTCCTACGGTACCATCAAGACACACGAAGTTTCATCAAGGTATTTGCTATTTAAATTGTTTCATAGTTTATTTAATGAAAGAAGCACATTTACTGAACTAAAATTTTCATTAATTTATCCAGGAAAACCTGCACTAGTTTAAGATTCAACGAACCCACACTGGGCTCCTGTGATCAACATGACGCACGAGTCGAAGAGTCTGTGAGCCGAACCTCGAAAGAATCGGCCATGAAAAGATCCTCGCGAACGTTAGAAAGATCCACTCACAAAAAGAGATTAATTCTAGAAGACATAGGCTACGTTCAGACTGCAGCCTGAAGTGACCCAAATCAGATTTTTTGGCCCCTATGTTCCTGTATCTGATCTTTTAATGACACAGATCAGATTTTTCAAATGTGACCCAGGACACTTGGATATGTGCTCCTGAAACTGATACATATCTGATCTTTTGACATGTGACTTCAGTCTGAACGGTCAAAGTGCATTCATCCACCTACACGTTATCAACAAGACACAAACGTCACTATTCTGCGCTGAAGTAGGAGAAAATTGTTAATGAACTCTGTGTGACTGAAGTGAAGCACATCACCACCCACCACAAAAACACCACGACCAAAAACCTCGTTCTTCTCCTTCTCAATCTCCTCCTTAAAACAAGTAAGTTGTTCATGTTCCAGTACGAGAGGAACTTTAAAATCTCCAGGTGCTCGATGCTGCGTCCATGTTTGGACAACTTCTGTAAACACAGAGACGCTCGCTGCGGTTGACGTCGTCGTGTCTCCAGTGTCACATGTGGGACACTTTTGGACCGTTTAATGTTCACACTGGAGTCACATACAAGTCACATTTAACTGGAAATGTGAACGACCTCGAAAAAACATCGGATTTCACAAAAAAATCTGAATTAAGCGTTAAGCCCTGCAGTCTGAACGTAGCCTAAGTTGTGGATAAACAAGACAATAAAGAAAACATGGTCCTACGAGTGACATGTTTATATGTGCTGGAAGATCCAGTTTCTACTGCACACTCACACTGCAAATGTTTTCTTTTTACATTTTAGTTCAGTAAATGTGCTTCTCTCATTAAATAAACTATGAAACTATTTAAATAGCAAATACCTTGATGAAAGTGACGTGAGTGTGTCTTGATGGTAACATAGGAAATCTCTTCGTGGTTTATGTTCTCTAACTATAATCTGTGTCTTTTTTTTCGATAATTCCCTTGTTTGATCCTGATGAGTCATTTCCAGAGGAACAGTGAAGAAACGAATCATTTTATCCCTTTCAGAGCGTCTAGAACAACCAAATACACAACAAAACCTGCCCATGTTTCTCCGATGCTGCTGAAGTCAATGACATAGTGTGTCCGGTGTCATGGCGGCGTAGGTACTGTTGCTGTAGGGTCACGTGACGGTGTAAAACCTCTATGTGCATCTCACGGTACGATATTTATTGCGATATTTTGAAGAGGCTGATATAATTATAGATTCGACACTTTTTTGCTTTTAAAATACCTCGACAAGACTTTGGTGTGAATTATTTCCGTCATAATCCCAAGAATACAAATTAAAAACATATTTCTTCATGTTGTCTGCGCTGAAATGAATCATGGGAAATGTAGTTCTCGATGTTGTTATGGAATTTCAGACGACTTTAGTCCTCGGAGAGTTTGACTGTAAAACCTCGTCAGCGCTCGAGTATAAATGTGTGTGTGTGGCAGAGTGGTTAGCCCGTCTCCTGTCGCTGAGCGGGTTGTGGGTTAGACTCCCGACCTCTTCTGTGGCAGAGTGGTTAGCCCTGGAGGTTGTGGTCAGAGTTTAGTCCAGGTTCAGTGGTTCAGTTTTGGAAAGTCCTTAAAGACATTCAACAGTCGAAACCAGATGGTCGTATAGTGGTCCGAGTTCTGGTCTAGTCCCCCGTGTAGTCCCCGGGCTAGTCCTCGGTCTAGTCCCCGGGCTAGTCCTCGGTCTAGTCCCCGGGCTAGTCCCCGGTCTAGTCCCCGGTCCAGTTCACGGTCTTGTCCCTGGTCCAGTCCCCAGTCCAGTCCCCGCTCTACTCTCTGGGGCGGTCCCTGGTCCGGTCCCTGGTCCGGTCCCTGGTCCAGTCTCTGGTCCAGTCTCTGGTCTAGTCTCTGGTTCAGTCCCTGGTCTAGTTCCTGGTTCAGTCCCTGATGTTGTCCTCAGTCCAGTCCCCGGTCCAGTCTCTGTCCTGTTTCTGGTTAGTCCCTGGTCTAGTCTTTGGTCTAGTCTGGTCTAGTCTTTGGTCTAGTCTTTGGTCTAGTCTGGTCTAGTCCTGGTCTGATCTAGTCTCTGGTCCTCTCTGGTCCCGTCTCTGGTCTAGTTCCTGGTTCAGTCCCTGATGTTGTCCTCAGTCCAGTCCCCGGTCCAGTCTCTGTCCTGTTTCTGGTTAGTCCCTGGTCTAGTCTTTGGTCTAGTCTTTGGTCTAGTCTTTGGTCTAGTCTTTGGTCTAGTCCAGTCCCCAGTCTAGTCCCTGATCTAGTCCCTGGTCCCGTCTCTGGTCCCGTCTCTGGTCCAGTCTCGGTCAGTCCCTGATGTTGTCTCCAGTCCCCGGTCAGTCTCTGTCCTGTTTCTGGTTAGTCCTGGTGTCTAGTCTTTGGTCTAGTCTTTGGTCTAGTCTTTGGTCTGGTCCAGTCCCCAGTCTAGTCCCCGATCTAGTCTCTAGTCCCCGATCTAGTCAGTCTCTGATCTAGTCTCTGGTCTAGTTGGTCTGTCTCTGGTCCAGTCTCTGATCTAGTCTCTGGTCTAGTCTCTGGTCTAGTCTCTGGTCCAGTTCCCGGTCTGGTTCTGGATCAGCAGTTTTTTTTTTTTACAGTAAACTCGGTCAGATCTGAGGAATGCCTCTTCACATCTGTGTTATTCAACTTGTCCTCCCCTCTTTTCTCTCTCTCTCTCTCTCTCTCTTCATCTCTCCCTCTCTCTCTCCCTCTCTCCTCCTCTTTTCCTCCTCTCTATTCCTATCCTCCCCCTCTCCGTCTTTCTTTCTTTCTCTCTCTCTGTCCTCTTTTCCTCCTCCCATCCCTCTGTTCCCCCTCTCTTTTTCTCTCTCTCTCTCTCTGTTTTACTGCTGAACAAACATTTCTTCCCCTAACATGACTTTTCCATCAGACCCTCCCTTCTTTCTACTCCTCTTTTTTGCCACTCCCTTTCTCTCTTTCTCTCTGCTCATTCTCCTCTCCCTCTTTTTTTCCTATTTTGCTTCTCTCTCTCCTTTCTCTTTTCCACTGTTTTTCTTTTCTCTCTCCTCTCTCTCTCTCTCTCTGTCCTTCTTTGCCCTTCTCCTTTCTCTCTCTCTTTCTTTCTCTCCGTCTCTCTCTTTCTTTCCAGTCCGTGTCTTGTTTTTGGAAACTCTTTCGTTCATGTCTTGTTCGTGAAAATCTGTTTTTTACATCAAGGTGAATCGAGGTCTCTCTCTCTCTCTCCTCTCCTCCGCCGCCAAACACTTTC